TTGTAATAAAATGTACTGTTTTAACATAGACTATAAGACTCGACTTAAATTGTTAAACATATTATCACTTGAATGTCGCCGTAATCTAAATATACTTAAAATTGTATTCAAATGTATGCATAGTTTTAATGATATACCATTTCGTTGGACTCAACACTTTATTGTATCAAATAATAGACTTATGGACTTATGTTATGTAAACCTAAAACTAGAATTAAGTTTTGTGACAAAAATATTTTTATTTATTCAATAGATTTGTTTAATTCATTGCCTATAGATATAAGAAATGAAACCAATTTTAAATGTTTTTTAACTAAATGTACAGAATTTTTGTCTTAATTTTAAACCATTTGTATTCATTTACGTGTTATTATGAAATAAACTATTATTATTATTATTATTATTATTATTATTAATATTTAAGAAATAATATATTTTGTGTATTTAAGAACTATGATATTTTGATGACATTAACAAGGTATTAACCAATGATATTATGTTTTCTTAATAGATTTAGAATGGTATTTAATTCATTATACTTATAGCTAAACAATTATTTATCCTAGGCAAAAAGAATACAAATATGTAGACTATATATAGAAGTACAATATAAAACATTAATTAATTTTTATAGACTTTAATTATAGGCATTTACACAATTATAGTTACGCAATAACTATATTTAAGTTAAAAACAAACTTTATTAATAAAACTTTATTATTTAATTATTTTATTTTATTAATAAAACTTTAAAACTCTATTAATAAAACTTTATTAATAAATTATAAAATATTATAAATTATATATATTTCAGTAAATTATTATTAAAAATTATTAGACAAAGTAATATTCATTGTACTTTAATTAGTAATTACTGATAACTGTGATATAATTTCATTGTTAAATGATATAAATTATTCATAAGTCTTATATGAAATAGCTTATTTTAAATATATCCCGGGTTACTGTTTGCTTGGGATGAACGGCATATTATTTATTTAAGTTGAATATTATAATAATGCCTAATATATAGATACCCTTAGATTTTAATACTGACTTTAAAAATAGTTTGATATTAGCTTTATTTTTCAAATCTTAAATTTTTCATTTATTAGTACTGCATATATTATTGCATATATTCAAATCTTCAAATATAATTGCATTATAAATTAACTGTCCATTAATGTACATTTAATAAACTGAGTTTATAATGTATGTTATAATTGTATTAACAGTAAAACCAATTTATCTATGGGAAATAAGATATATTTATGAAATTACTAACTTTTACTGTCTTAATGAATAATATTACCGTACAATTTAAAATTAAATCTACCAGTACATATCATTTGAAAATATAAATGAGATTAAAATGAAAGTGCTATATGCTATTATTCACAACATATAATTGAGTTTTTATTTAAATATTTATGATATTAAATTTAATAAGATTTTATAATATTAGTAATACAAAATATTGATATAGAGAAAAAGTTAATGATTAAAGTACTCTGGTTAATTATATTATCGATTTATTTGTACATTTCATGAATAGTAAGCGAACTGTTATTTAAAAATCTATTTTAAAAACATTTATATTTATGGTTATTTTATATTATTATGAAATCTCATTAATATGAAATCATAAGTATTTAAATGATATGAAAAAATGACATTCATATGAGATCTCGAGTCCCATTGTTTTTACAAAACGAACGGAAATATAAAACTTTTTATAGAGAAGACATGCTTTTAAAATAAAAATGCAATTAATATTATTATTAGTTAAATAATAAGTTTCTTTATAGACATAATCACTATTTTCATGAATAGTATGGGTACTGTTTCCATGGGGTGAACGCGCATATTTGGATGAATTGTTTATTTAAGTTAAATATAAAGTTTAATATCTTTAGAAATTTTAGAATTTTGTACTGACTTTAAGTAATCTAAACTATAAGTGAATTCTTTGAACTAATCATATAATTTTAATAAAATTCTCTAAAGTCATTTAGTTTTGTAAATGAAATTAAGTTATAATTGAGTTTTGAAATTAACTGCAGATAATTTAGTTATGCAGTAAAAATGCATTCATTTAATATTGATTTTTATTGCCATAACAATGATATTTATTTTAATATGTTTTCTGCCATTCAAACAAAATTATGCTACCTTAAATTAAATATATTTATTTCATAATATTTGCATATTATAATACTGTACGTTTATCGTACACTTTATAATTCAATCTACCAGTACATATTATTTAAAATATAATTGAGTTTAAAATGTGAGTGCAATATGTTATTATTCACATCATTTAATTGAGTTGTTATTTAAATATTTATGATATTCATATTAATGAGATTTTATAATAATACGTAATATTGATATAAACAAAAAGCTAATTATATAATACGTAAAGTACTGTGGTTAATTAAATTATCGATTTATTTGTATATTTCATAAATAATAAGCGAAATGCTATTAAAAATCTTTAAAAAACATTAATAAAATTAATAAGTATTTTGCATTATTATAAAATCTCATTAATATGAATATCATAAATATTTAAATAACAACTCAATTACAAGTGTTTTTATGAAACGAAAGTAATTAAAATACTTTTATTGAGAATTAAATGCTTTTCATGACCAAAACTGTATCTTTTAAGACAAGTTTTTAATTTAGAAATAATATTATACTGATAGTAGTATTACACAATAGATTTATTTCGAGACATAATCACAATTTTCATGAATAGTATGGGAATAACACTTAATATCTATGAAAAGAATGATATTTTAATATTAGACTCAATTAAACACCAGAAATGTATGCAAACCTCATATCCTCTGAATCTTGTGATGAGAAATAGTTTCCAACAGTAAAACTCAATCCCTTTCCCACCCAATCCCTCAAAGAATGCTATTAATGATATTACCAGTAATTTATACAAGGACATAGATTTTATGCAGGTTAATTGATTCATAATGAATTAGGCTGCGTTCACAAAGTACGTACGCAAAAATTTGGTCATTAATTGACCCCCTCCCCTCTCCCATAGTTGCACATCATGCTCAAATCATTGATCCCCTCCCCTAGCATACATACGCTTAAACCACCCCTCCCCCAATATTTAACTAAATTAAATTTAAAAATTGATTATTATTATTATTATTAAATTATCCTCTTAATGAAAATTAGATTCAAATAGTTTGTGAATTGTATAAAACCGCGGGATTTGTGTGTATTTCGGATGCTTTCGGGTTTAATAACACCCATTAGTATTGGGATTCACGACAAACAAGTGGTCATCAAATTGCTTACATTCAGCAGAAAATGCATTAAATTCACAGAAATTATAACAAATTCTATTTTCTACTTGGATTTAATTGCATGTATACTTGTATTTTCAATGGGTATGAAATCACCCACCTACATAACGGTGCTATTTGCAGGTTTTCATTGTATTCTTATTGCACTAAATATCTATTACATCAATTGTATAATAATGTATCAATTTATTTATTATATAATTATAGTATACTATTTATGGCTTAAAATACAATCAATTAATAATCAACTGATTGCAATTGAAAGGGGTACAACAAATCTTAAGCAAATTATTCATAAACTCTATGATATATTGACAGAAATCGGTGATTATAACCGTATTTATTGGCAATACTTTTTGGCTATTTATTGGTTTCTCATAACTATATTCATTACAGTATTTCTATACATTGCATATTACGGGACCATTCTGTTTATTGTTAAAATTGTAGCATTCTTACTATTCGCAAATTTCCTATTGACCCTGGTGTTTATTATCCATTTTTCAGCTATACTTTATAAACACACTAAAATGTTGTATAAGCAACTTAATACTTATTTGTTACAAAATAAACGCTATGTATCTCTCATCACACTATTAAAGGTATGCCAATTATTTTATTTATTTTATCATAACAACATTTTAATAATATTTTTATTGCATTTGATTTGAATAATTAATTAATATACCTTACTCTTATTACTATATTTTTAGTCTTATACAAAATTTGTACTTTTTATTCATATATTAATTACAGTTACTGGCATTGATTGAGCGATTGGGTGGGAAAGGGATTGGGTTTTACTGTTGGAAACTATTTCTCATCACAAGATTCAAAGGATATGAGGTTTGCGTCGATTTCTATATTAAATTAGACATTAAATGCTTTACTATTATGTGATTTATTTCATAGATTTTAAGTGCAATTCCGGTGCTATTCATGAAAATTATTGTTATGTCTCGAAATAAGTCTATATTGTGATAGTCGTCATAGTTTACACAAATATCATATTTTTGTACATCTATGGTCTTGCTGATCTCATCACATATAAAGTCATATATTAATAATATCTATATAATCATATTATATTATAAATATCGTACTAAATGTACGGTATACAATCAATATGTGTACAGTGCTTTAATTTAAATTTTAAAATAAATTTAATGTTAAATTTATTTAATTAGTTATTTATTACAGTATGATGATCATCGATAAATATATTATTATATAACATTATGATTTATTTATACACATAATGATTTAAATAATTCACAATTCTGTGAAATAATATACATAATTCAGTAACAAATAAAGTAATCATGTTTACACTATATTACGAAACGTTTGAATATTTGATAAATTAGAATTAGTATTAAATACTAGTCTGTTAAAAAAATAACAACAATAACTTAGAAATCATTAGAATACAATAATTTATTTATTAATTAAAAATTTTATTATTATTAACACACCGTAAATATTTATTAAAAGGTTTTCTTTAATTTTAAATATATATTATTTAAAATACAATTTTAAAGCTATTTATTTAAAAATTCAAAAGTGTACTTATAATTAATGTGAGTAATTAAAATTGTTACTTTATGTATAGCATTTTATAATGTCATTTAGATATATTAATTGTTAAATGTTCATGTACATTTATTTAATTAATTTGTTCACAATCTTAACGAGTTTTTCGGAATTTCCTTCGCTTTGTACTCTTTGGGAAACTTTTGCCAACTTTTGAGCCAATATTTTGTCGTTCAATACGCTATCGATTGAATCCAATAATTCATTTTCAGAGCACTCGTAGGGATTCAGTCTAACTCCCAGCCCCTTCTCAACAACTCTCTGAGCGGTATCCAACTGGTCAAACCAAACGGGCATAACTATCATGGGTTTCCCGAAATACATGGTTTCCGACACATGATTGTTGTGACCACTGGTTATAATCAGATCAATGATTGGCAACACTTTATGCGGTGAGACAGAGATCTCGCCCCACATATTGTCCGCCAATTCATATTCATTATGTTTGAGACCTTTGGAGACAATGAACCGGTGCTTAGATTTGGACAAAATCGCAACCAATCTCTTCATGAGCTCTACATCTCTGGACACAAACATATCAAATGAAAGGAAAATCAGTTTTCCGGACCTATTCTTAAGATTATCCGGTATTTCTAAAGTGTCTTCACTTCCACTGCGTTTGAAACAATCAAATCCATGGAAAGTGTCGGGAAGTGGTCTGATGTCCGTATAATCCAGTTCCTTAGGGGCCAAATAGAAGTTAGCATAAGGGGATGGGCTCCAGTACTGGAACTCATATAGTGGTGGACATCCTATAGCCATGAGTTCATCCCTATATTTATACCACAAATCAATATTTCTTTCCCAAAGTTGTTGTCTGTATTTCTCCTTCATTTCTCTCTCAGTATTTGTCGGCAATCCTTAAAAACCACAAAATAATGTTTAAAACTATATTTAAAAATCATTTTTTAAAATAAAATTAACATTAATACCTAAATAGGATGGTGGTAGCCGTTTATCAGGATAACCCAAATCCAGTGATAGTGCGCTATCATTCCAACTGAATATCCAGGGTATACCTGATTTCACAATCGATGGATAATTGATAAAATGATCCGATATTATAAGGTCTGGCTTCAGGTCCTCGATTATAGTCTTCACGTATGGATCCGTTTCTTTGGCTTCTCTAATAAAATACTTCAAAAACAATGTATTTATACGAGAGGTCGGTTCCAGAGACTTAGCAAATGTTTTTGTATTTTTTGGGTCCATTAGACTGCTGTCCAGCGAGTCCTTTATGGCATCATTGAAGTCAACACTTTCCATAAGTTTGACGTCAAATCCCTTGGACTCGAGCAGTGCTTTCCAAACACCGTTCACCGCAAACACACAGTTGTATCGCCCGGTGTCGCGCAATATCTCGGCCATACCTACGCTGCCGTGCACCTGACCCTCAAATGGAGTAGGCACAAATAGCACGGTAAACTTTTTAGTAGACATTATTCACTGCTTTTTGTTGATAGAGTATTGTATTTGCATTAGATTTTTGTTTAATTGAATTTGAAATGTTTGATCGCCTTTTATATGAATTAATGGCGATTTAAATGTTATTAAAGCACTTCTCTATATGTGATAAATATTTGGACTCAAATAAACAAATATCTATTGTATTGGATAGGATATCTGTTTTATTGAATAAGACTTAATGTACATGTAGCTAATTAAATACTGGTTTGTGGGTTACATAAGTACTCTAATGTTATTTTTATAATATAAATGCACTCATGTTATCTACTAGCATGGTGTTACTAATGCACTCGTGTTAGAAATGCACTCAAATTAATGCTATTATGACAAGGTTAGCAGTATTTATTAGATTTATTATTTATATTGAAGGTTTTACATTTATATATTATATTTACTATGTTTACTATATCTACTATTTATCACTAAATTAAAGTTAGTTATAGCAAAATAAGTTATTAAAATAAATAATTCACTTTATTTTAACATATATTCTGCACAATTATATTACAAAAGTAAATTATAACAAATAGATTTATAATACTACACTGGTACAGTATTACAGGTACAGTATATATAAATAAAATAACAAATAATTATTAAAATTATATTAATTTTTGAATAATTCAAAGTATAATTTTAAGTTTAAAACATATTTTTATTATAATTGTAAATTTTTAAATTATTAATGTCAAGAATTTCTAATATAAATTTCATAGTAAAGAATTTATTATATTTTGTTTGACTTAATATACAATATTAAATTCATTAAAACTTTTATTTAATTAGTTTGTTCACAATCTTAACGAGTTTTTGGGAATTTCCTTCGCTTTGTATTCTTTGGGAAACTTTTGCCAACTTTTGAGCCAATATTTTGTCGTTCAATACGCTGTCGATTGAATCCAATAATTCATTTTCAGAGCACTCGTAGGGATTCAGTCGAACTCCCAGCCCCTTCTCAGCAACCCTCTGAGCGGCATCCAACTGGTCCAACCAAACGGGCATAACTATCATAGGTTTCCCGAAATACATGGTTTCCGACACATTATTGTTGTGACCACTGGTTATAATCAGATCTATGATTGGCAACACTTTATGCGAAGGGACAGACCTCTCGCCCCACATATTGTCCGCCAATTCGTATTCAGTATGTCTGTAGCCCTTGGAGACAATGAACCGGTGCTTAGANAAATATAATATATAAATGTAAAACCTTCAATATAAATAATAAATCTAATAAATACTGCTAACCTTGTCATAATAGCATTAATTTGAGTGCATTTCTAACACGAGTGCATTAGTAACACCATGTTAGTAGATAACATTAGTGCATTTATATTATAAAAATAACATTAGAGTACTTATGTAACCCACAAACCAGTATTTAATTAGCTACATGTACATTAAGTCTTATTCAATAAAACAGATATCCTGTCTACAATAGATATTTGTTTATTTGAGTCCAAATATTTATCACATATAGAGAAGTGCTTTAATAACATTTAAATCGCCAGTAATTCATATAAAAGGCGATCAAACATTTCAAATTCAATTAAACAAAAATCTAATGCAAATACAATACTCTATCAACAAAAAGCAGTGAATAATGTCTAATAAAAAGTTTACCGTGCTATTTGTGCCTACTCCGTTTGAGGGTCAGGTGCACGGCAGCGTAGGTATGGCCGAGATATTGCGCGACACCGGGCGATACAACTGTGTGTTTGCGGTGAACGGCGTTTGGAAAGCACTGCTCGAGTCCATGGGATTTGACGTCAAACTTATGGAAAGTGT